ATTTGAATTAATGTGGTCATTACACACAGATCTGAGATTACTGGAAGATAGTTGATTGATTTATTGCTAAACATCCAGTGGCAAATAGTTTTGCATGATCAGGACAAAAACAAATTTACGATACTAGTAAATACAACAGTTAGCCACTAGGTCCTGTAATAGGGGTCGTCCAGGATGAAAGTCTGAACTTTTGAAAATGCCATTGGAAAATTAGGGTTTATTGATCTTTATTGGATAGGGACAGATATTTTGCCTTTCAGCAGACCCCTCAAAGAGTTGTTGCAAGTGTTATTAGCGTGCAGAGAGCGAGGCGAAAATTTGTTTGGACTATTTTAAGCTAAAGGCCTACAGAGGGTCAAGGGAAACGATTTTCAACTTTTTCGAACGAATCTTTTAACTGACATTGGGGAAAAATTGGTTAAACAAATCTAAAATTTCTGAACTTTTATGAATAACTTTCAGATCCAGTTTCATACACAAAGTCAATGATACACTTATTCAAAGTCAAGTCAACGTTTTTTTTCTGCCAATAAAATCAGTTATACTCTCATCAACTTCAACATTGAGGTGTGGGTGGGTATGAAGAAGGGATAGATTAGAAAGTCGCTCATCTCCGATCTCAGGTAGGACTTGATGCGTCCCATCGCACTAAAGGATCTTTCACTAGTTGCCGATGAAACGGGCATTGTCAATAAAATCAAAATAATCCTATGCACCGAAGGGTACAGATCGGTGTTTGAATACGGACGGGCACCGTATAAGTAATAATACGCATTAGAATTACAATGTGTATTTTTATTTTTTTATTCCAAAGGGGTATATAATTGGCAAATTTATGTATAGGCACATGCCTAGTCGAGCCTTAGGTAGCTATGCCACTGAATGTGACAGCCAAGCGATGCATTTACTAAAAATTCGTAAGGGTTCCGCGGAACCCAGTGTCTCGCCTACTTTTTCTGTTAAACGCAGGCTCAACAAAAATGAGGAAGTAAATCAATAAAAATATTCCTCTTGATACTATCTTTTGATTGTAAGAAGCTTCTGTCCAAGTTTGGTAAAAATCCAGGATAGTTTATGAATCTAATAAATGTTTAAAAACTTTAACTGCAGACTGAATGTAATGTTAACTGGAAGAAAACAAAATTTCCTTCTAGATACTAGCATTTGATCATAAACAAGCTTCTGTCCAAGTTTGGTACAAATCCAAAATAGTATAAGAAAGTTATTAAAATTTTAAAAACTTTAACCACAGAGTGAATGTGTTGTTTCCTGGCAGAAAATCTAAGTCAATTTAAAAGTAAAAAATGGAAAAAATGGATTTATTTTTTTTACAAAATTTCCTTCTAGATACTAGCTTTTGATCATAAACAAGCGTCTGTCCAAGTTTGGTACAAATCCAAAATAGTATAAGAAAGTTATTAAAATTTTAAAAACTTTAACCACAGAGTGAATGTGTTGTTTCCTGGCAGAAAATCTTAGTCCATTTAAAAGTAAAATAAGGAAAAAATGGATTTATTTTTTTACAAAATTTACTTCTGGATACTATCTTATGATCATAAACAAGCTTCTGTCCAAGTTTGGTACAAACCCAGGATAGTTTAAGAAAGTTATTAAAATTTTAAAAACTTTAACCACAGAGTGAATGTAATATTTCCCGGCAGAAAAACTAAGTCCATTTATAGGTAAAATACGGAAAAAATGGAATTTTATTTTTACAAAATTTACTTCTGGATACTATCTTATGATCATAAACAAGCTTCTGTCCAAGTTTGGTAGAAATCAAGGATTGTTTAAGAAAGTTATTAAAATTTCAAAAACTTTAACCACAGAGTGAAAATTTGTGGACGCCCCGACGACGACTGATTTTGAAATTGATTTGAAAAGAAGTTGTTGACATATTTTATAATACCAAACAAAGAAAAATGTTGCTTGCTTAAATGAAACCAGTAAATTGTTGTTATTTGCAAATCACGTATCAGTTAACAAGTTAAAAACCAGATGCGTTGACCTCTAGACGTCTTTTATTATTTTTGTGTGTCGTTTGGTTGCTGTCTTATATATACACCACAATTTCGTTAATTCACATTGAAAAAAATTAGATACCGATTTCAAAAATTCGTTTCACATCGCTTCATGATTATGTGCTTTACCCAAGATGAAGTCAGGAAGTCACTCTATCTTTATAATTTTGTCATTTTCGAAATTTGGTGTCAATGACAGATCTTTTATAGTCTCTGCAAATTGTATTCACAACTGTGTTGCTCTGGCCGGTTTAGAGCTTGATATATATTATTTAGACACTTGTCCATTGTTGGAGGACGTTTGTTAATATCGTTTGACATTTTTTTTTTATCTATGTCGATAAAATGCTGTCTCGCTTGCGTGTAACCATTTCCTTTTATTCCCATTTATCGGTACGTCAAGCAAACTTGAATAATTGGATTGTTTGAGTCTGCATGATTTGTTCTTCAGACTCCTTTTCCTCGTACTAATCAATCTTAAAAATGCATAACTATTGGTTTTATTTGTGCACCTTTTCTGTATTGACTTGTTCGTAATCAGCTGACTGCTTTGGTGCTGTCATAGCGGCCAAAAACCAGCAACGATATGACTAAGCCAATGTATTATCTATTTCATAATATTATGTTACAGCCTACATATATTACAAAATTGTTTGCATCACTCTTTGAAGGTCGATTGTCTCCGTCGAGTTCTCTAGCATATTCAATAGGCAAATTAGTAGAGCAGCATTATACTGGTTTATAAACAAATTGTCGTCACTGAATCAGTCCAACACTCATGTCCGTTTATCGAGGTATAACTGGACCCTGTCATTTCATATATTTCTTAAGAAAATTAGACAGAACAGATAAATTTCCAACAACAAAATTCTTCTTTGTGTTTACTTAATTCTCTGAGCTTCAGGCGGGCTTTGCCCCCTACCAGAGCTTTGCACACAGAACCTGGCTACGCCACTGAAGTGCCCGGTATATGGTTTAGCAACACTCAGCGGCTATGGGTTTTGTAACCATGTGTGTTAAACAATCAATATCCTAGAAGTATACTGAGCCAGGGATAACTTCTTATATAGATATAGGAAGATGTGGTATGAGTGCCAATGAGACAACTCTCCATCCAAGTTAAAATTTATAAAACCATTATAGGGCAAGGTACGGCCTTCAACATGGAGCATTGGCTCACACCGAACAGCAAGCTATAAAGGGCCCCAAAAAATTACTAGTGTAAAACCATTCAAATGGAAAAACCAACGGTCTAATCTATATTGAAACGAGAAACGAGAAACACGTATGAACTACATAAACAGACGACAACTACTTTAATCAGATTCCTGACTTAGGACAGGTGCAAACATTTGCAGCGGGATTAAACGTTTTAATGGTACCAAACCTTCTCCCTTTTCTGAAACAATAGTATAACATCACAACATAGAAAAACACACTATAAAATATCAATTGGAAGGCTTAACTCAATCAAAAAACGTAAATTAACACATAATGAACAAATAAATTTGACCTGTGACACCTGAATGAAAATACACAGTTAATAAAAAATTACAAGGGACAAATAATTAAAGTCAAAAGTAAATAAACAGGTTTAAACAAAGTTAAAGTATGATATCACTGTTATATCTATTTTCAGGCTAGTGATACAGTAGTTTCACTACTTAGACCATTCAGCCACAGAGGCCCCATTATGGCAGATCCAGGGGAGGGTTGCTGGGGTTGGAACCCCCCTTTTTTTAACGATCAATGCATTTGAGGTCATATAGTTCTCTTACTTTAGATTGCCTTAACTAAATGGTATGAAAGTTATAATACACAATACTTATTACCACAAAACTCAGTTCAAGTACAAATTTGGGTAGCATCACTTTTACCATTCTTCATGATCAGTTATGTCCCTTTATGCCAATATGTTTTTTTCAGTAAAATACAAATCTATACAGTAGGGTCAAAATATTGACCCTAGAAACTGATGAGTATAATAGTACCAGGTAAAATATGGAATTTATGAATATTAGTCCAATAGTCCATGTAGAATATGGAAAATGAATAAAAAAAATTATATCTTGAAGCTACTCCTGAATTTCAAATGGCAATTGTTCATAAAACATGTAAACCATAATGCCAAAGAAGTATAAGACCTATGTCTTCTTTTTGTTTGTGACAATGCAAACATTCTGTAGCCAATGTCAATGAATTAAGACTGAGATGTAGGGTTAAATAATTTCCACGAAGACAAGAAATGCCAATGCTAATCATTCTTATACAATTTTATACCAAAACTACCATTCATTGACTAAAATTTATAAGCGGTTCCCTCTAAACTGGATAAAGCACAAACTTGAACCTATATTAATTACATTTTTCTGATACTAACTTTTCATAGATTATGAACTATGATGAGGGAACAGTACAATGTAATTTCCATAGAAATGAGATGAGCAAATGCTTATAGCATGTATAGGATTGCATACCAATATATTTAACAGAAAAATTTCGATCTGATCTGGAAATTTGAGTGATAATACAAGAACGCAAATGTTTCTATTTCTATTCAATAACTGGTCGTCTCCTTTGTAACAACTTCTTATATGAAGAATCTGCAGATGGTTTGTTGCAAAGCAAATTTTATTGCCACCACCACCTATCTTTCGTCCATAGCTAGTTCCTCCCCTCTCCAACAATTTTTACAAAATTTTTAGAAGCTACTTAAGTTATTTACATCTATTAACATTTTATATCATCTTGAATATGCATTAAACATTTGCCACATTACAGTAAACAAGCAATGTCTAAGCAGATGCATAGCTGAAGATATGGTATGGGTTTTGCTCATTGTTGAAAGCCATAGTAACATACCATTGCTTAAATCTCCAATATTTGGACTCTCAGGGATAGTTGTCTCATTGGCAATCATAGTACCACATCTTTTTTATTTATGACTATTGATAAAAATCAACCGATCAAGTCTCCTACCTGTAAACTTTGATTAAATCTTCTGTGATGAATGACCTCTCCTTTATATCAATTTCAAAATTCATAACTGCTTCTCCTTATGTCAATCATTGGCTCTCTTCAAATATCCTTTCTATGCATTTAACCATGACGATTCTTCATTTGATTCATTTACTAATAGAAATTTCCTGCAAAACATAAAAACATGTCAATTAGGATAAATAAATAGGCATATTATTTTTAGAATATTTGTACAAAACTGAGTAGTTTTGGTAGTATAATAAAAATCTGACCCTGCAATATTAATAATCAGTACAAAGAAAGATAACTCTGTTCATTTAATATGACAATATCAACGGGATGGCTCTAGGGAGTGTGTTGGTTTGTGCAAACTTGTCATATAAGGGCAATCACGATTTTGGCAAAATTTGACATATTTGTAGATCTTGTCTTGCTGATCATTTTTGCTATTAAAGTGGCTTTCTATCTATAATAGTTAAATGTAAAATATTATTATTGTTTTTCAGAAAAGGAAAACAAATGATAAAAGTCATCATTAAACAGTCAATAACTCTAATAATGAGTAGTTTTTAATTTCATTAAAGTTTGACTTGTTTGTAGATATTGTCTTGTTGATCATTTTTGCAATTTGAAGTTTCTTTAAGCTGTAATGTTTCCTGGGGCTGATCCAGCAATTACATAAGGGGGGAGGGGGGTTCCAACCCAGGATAAAAAGGGGGAGGGGGTTTCCAACCATATGTCCCCATTCATTTACATTAAATGTAAAAAAAAAAGGGGGGTCCAATACATAATTACTTTTAATTTTTTTGGCAATAACTGAGATATTCAAATATTGTTTGGCATAAATTCTTATAAAATGACTATTTAGACTTATCTGATTGAACCAATATTTTATAAATATGTGCTTTTGTGTTTCATAATAATCATTCATTTGAACCTTTTATTCTGAAATCATTCATTTTGACCATTCATACAAAATCATTAATGTAATACATTAATTCATATCAGTATATTAGAAGGCATGTGAGGTATTAATTATGGAACACTGACCTTATTTGAAAAAAAATCAAAGATGTCCACCAAATTTGAATAAAATTATATAAGGAACAGCACAGCTCCAATCAGTTCAAACTATAAGTAAAGTCTGACTAAACAAAAGAATTTCCCTCCTAAATAGACACATGACTTAATAAACCAATTATCATAAAGGAGATAGAGTTTTCATAGCACAAACTAGTTAAACCTAGAGAGTAAACTAATACTCAATGGATCAAAATTCACTGAGCCATGAAGAAAGAAGTCTTACAATAAATAAAACCACTGATGCATGACTAGAAACTACTCATTAATTACTTAGAATTAAATTTACTAAAATCTGATGTAAAATATAAAAATATCAAAGTATGATACACAAAACAACAGTATCCAAATTAACATACTACATGTAGTTACCATGGTTACTTGTTTGATTAACATTCAGTGGCAATAACATTTAAATGGAGTACTTCTGAGTTTTCCCCCAAAAAAACCATACATTTTCTTTTGAATATTAAAAAAAATATCTGAAGATTTTGTTTTGGTGATTATTTTGTGAATCTTGTCCTCATGATCATTTCTGCTCTGAATTTTTTTATTGCCCCTGCCGCAGTTGAGGGGCATTAAGTTTAACCCTTGTCTGTCTGTACGTACGTACATCCCAAAATTGGTTTCAGTTTTCTAACTTTAGTTTGCCTCAACCAAATGTTATGAAACGTTGAACACAATGCTTATTACCACAAAACACAAGACAAGTTTGAATTTTGGTGGCATCACTTTTACCATTCAAGAGTTATGCCCCTTTACAAATGAAAAAAAATTCTGAATTTTTTGTTACGTTCTCCCACTTCAGTTTGACTCAACCAAATGATATGAAACTTATACACAATGCTCATTACCACAAAATACAGATTGAGTTTGAGTTTTGGTGGCGTCACTTTTACCGTTCAAAAGTTATGTTTTTTTTACAAATAGAAAAGTTTCTGAATTTTTTGTTTCCAACTTCAGTTTGTCTCAACTAAATGTTATGAAATGTATATACAATGCTTATTACCACAAAACTCAGTTTAAGTTCAAATTTTGGTAGCGTCACTTATACAGTTAGTGAGTTATGTCCCTTTATAACGTTATATGCTAGCGGGGACATCATCTGAGTCCCTATGGACACATTCCCCATTTATTTTATCTTTTATAGTTTTTGAATTAAAAGGAAAAACACTAAAATTGGTAAAAATCATCAATTAGGGGCAATTACTCCTTTACAGAGTTAACCAACAGTTTTGTCCTTGTCATATTTCTTGTCTTGCTGTGGCAAGGTGAGCTAAAGTAAGGAGTTGTTGTATAATTGCAAATGAGACACTTATACACCAAATACCAAATGATGTAGATGCTAGCTACTTTTGGTGATCATACAATCTTCAACGATGATCCTTAAAGCCATAAAACTCTATAGCAAGATATAAAAGGTAGTCATGAACCAATTTAAAAAATAAAATAAAATGAGAAAACCTATGTCTGATTTAGGCTAAAACTATAATATTAGAATTACAGCCATTCAATCACAGGCGCCTGACTTTGGACAGGAATTTAAAGAATGTGTTGGGTGGGGGAGGAGGTTTTCATAGGACTTAATAATGTTCCCTATGAAATAATGTACCGTATAACATAATTTTTTTCATAATAAATATAAATACTGTCCATGGACAATATTTACTTATTTAAATGTGTCCAAGTCACAATTTTCCTATGAAAAATGGCCTTAAGTATGAAAAAGTGTCCATGAACATATATCACTGTATATAGCCATATTTAATCATGTTAATACTAAACATATTTTAACCTATTATATATATGTATTGCTTACTTTTAATACATTGTTTCTTTGACAGAGAGAAGTGTTGTCTCATTGGCTCTCATACCATCCTTATATTCTTGTTTACATTTTTATACGACCGCAAAAAATTTTTTGGGTTCGTATAATGCTATGATGTCGTCGTCTGCATCGTCAGCATCGTATGCATCGTCATCCAAAGACATATTTGGTTTCCGGACAATAACTTGAATTTATGTGAATGGATCTCTATGAAATTTTTTAAGAAGGTTATTACAAAAGGATGGTTGGGATTTATTTTGGGGATGATGGTCCCAACCGCTTAGAAATTAGGGGCCCAAAACAAGCATTTTTCTAGTTTCAGGATACTTACTTGTGTAAAAGTATTTCGATTGGTCTGAAATTATACCACAATGTTTAATGCCACATTTTGGGGGTTATGGTGCCAACAGATTGGGAACTAAGGGCCAAAAAGGGTTAAAAAAAAAAGCATTTTTGTGGTTTCCGGACAATAACTTGTGTGTAAGTGTATGGATCTCTCTGACATTGTACCACAAGGTTCCATATCAAGGGAAGGCTGAGATTGAGTTTGGGGGTAATTGCCACAAACATGCAGGAGTTGGGGGGCAAACAAAGGACCAAAAACAAGCATTTTTCTAGTTCAATACTACAAAGGGAAGGTTGGGATTTATTTTGGGGGTAATGGTACCAAAGGTTTAGAAATTAAGGGCCCCAAAAGGGTAAATAAACAGCTGCGCCATGAGCGCATGATACACCCGTCGTCTTGTGTGTGAATTTTTATGCAATAAGCATAAATAGTTTCTGACATACGGCGTGACATGCGAAAACCCCTCTTTTTTTTTACAAAAAACTCAATATCTCTAAAATAAAATTTTGAATCAAAACCAAAAAGTATACAGATCTTTAGATTAATATAACTAAGAAGTGTGTAAAATTTTAAGCAATAATCATAAATCGTTTTTGAGATACGGCGCGACATGTGAAAACCCCCCCTTTTAAAAAAAAAAAAATCAATATCTCAAAAATAGAATTTTGAATCAAAACCAAAAAGTATACAGATCTTTAGATTAATATAACTAAGAAGTGTGTAAAATTTTAAGCAATAATCATAAATCGTTTTAGAGATACGGCGCGACATGTGAAAAACCCCTCCCCCTTTTTTTACAAAATACTCAATAACTCAAAAATAAAATTTTGAATCATCACCAAAAAGTATACAGATCTTAAGGTTAATATAACTAAGAAGTGTGTAAAGTTTTAAGCAATAATCATTAACTGTTTTTGAGATACAGCGCGACATGTGAAAAAAAACACACACCTGTTTTAGTTAGTAAGTCCCGTAACTCAAAAAGTTTTAATCTTATTTTCACCAAAAAGTATACAGATAGTTTGACCATCATAAGAAACAACTATGTTAAGTTTCATAAAATTTGGATAAGTCATTCTCAAGTTATGGTGCGACATGTTTACGCCGGACAGACAGACGGACAGACAGACAGACGGACAGACAGACAGACGGACGGACGCCGGACATTTGTATAACATAATACGTCCCGTCAAAAATTTGACGGGCGTATAAAAACAAGCAATTTTGTAGTTTCCTGACCATAACTTGTGTGTAAGTCTATGGATATCTCTGAAAATGTACCACAAGGTTCCATATCACAATGGGAATACTGGGATTGGTTTTGGGTTATGGTACCAACTGTTTTAAAAAAATTGGGGACCAAAAAGGATAAAAAAACAAGCAATTTTGTAGTTTCCGGACCATAACTTGTGTGTAAGTGTATGGATCTCTCTGAAATTGTACAACAAGGTTCCATATCACAATGGGAAGGCTGGGTATGAGTTTGGGGTAATTGTTCCAAACGTTCAGGAATGAGGGGCCAAAAAAGGGGCTAAAAACAAGCAATTTTGTAGTTTCTGGACAATAACTTGTGTGTAAGTGTATGGATCTCTCTGAAATTGTACTACAAGGTTCCATATCTCAATGTGAAGACTGGGTAAGAGGTTGGGGGGTAATTGGCCCAAAAGTTCAGGAATTAGGGGCCAATCAAGGGGCAAAAAAATAGCATTTTTCTTGTTTCCAGATAATAACTTGTGTCTTAGTGTATGGATCTCTCTGAAATTGTACTGCAAGGTACCATACCTCTAAGAGAAGGCTGGGATTGAGTTTTGGGGTAATTACTTTAAGGGGGGTCAAAATAATTGGGGAGGGGGGGGGGGGGTCATAAATTTTATGTATTTTTTTTTTAATTTTCCATTTTTCAATCAATTATATTAGATATATGTAAAAGCAAAAAATATTGATATGACAGGAGAAACACACAAGTTATCATATGAAGTATTGTGCAATAGCAAGAAATCTTCCAATTGCATAGAATTGCGCTATAGCACAGTATTGCACAATAGCAAGAAATCTACAATTGCACAGTATTGAGCAATAGCAAGAAATAACCAATTGCAAAGTATTGCACAATAGCAAGAAATCATCAATTGCACAGTATTGCACAATAGCAAGAAATCTTCAATTGCACAATATTGCACAATAGCAAGAAATATCTTATTGCACAGTATTGCGCAATAGCAAGAAATCTTAAATTGCACAGTATTAAGCAATAGCACAGTATTGTGTGTAGTAAGATGTCTCATTTCAGATTTCAGAAATTAAAAAGAAAATGTCTTCAAATATTCAATTCACAACAGCATAGTGTATTGCACAAAAGCAAAACATTGAATATAAATTCAAATAATATAACCAATTCTAAGTTCTTTGACTACAGTTATTCTGTGTCAGAAACATGGTATGTGTCAAATATTTAATTACAATCCAAATTCAGACCTGTATCAAGCACGAATATTGTGTTCATTTTTGCCCCAACTGTTCAGTGTTGAACCTCTGCGGTCGTATCCAGCTGCGCTCAGCGAAGCAATTTATTATCCATTTGGGAATGGGGGTCAAAGGGGATATTTTTCCTTTTTTAAGACAAAATTTTTAAATTGTACATATGACTGTTTTTTTATATATTTTTCAATTTTATCTCAGTTAATTTTAAGCCCCCCAAGTCAAATCGGAGACTAAAAAACTGGTACTCCAAAAGGAAAAGATAGGTGACCCACTGCGGGTGTTTGTCTTGGTGAACTAATGTAACAAAAAATTTGTTCCGGCATGACATTTGTTCCACCGGAACAAATTTCATAGGAAATATGTTCCATCGGAATTTATATCACAGAAAATATGTTCCAGC